TTTTATGATATCTTCAAACATATATTTTATTCAAAAATAAAAACATCATTGTTTTCTCAAAATCACATAAAGTCATATTATAACATCGACTGAGATAAAGACTAAAATGAAATACACGATCTATCTTGCTGCATTGCGCGAGTACGTTTCTAGTTATATTATAAAACATTTAACAAAAACTCTTAAAAACCATTTTTTATGCATGAAGTACTGTGTATTAATGCATATTACTTGAAATCTAAGATTACAATTAATCTATACTATATTATGGAACATTTAACAAAAACTCTTAAAAACCATTTTTTTATGCATGAAGTACTATGTATTAATGCATATTACTTAAAATCTAATATTACAATTAATTGTACGTAAGTACAACTTATTAAAGCTTTATTTTTGAATTCGTATAACTAACTGTAGATAAACATAATCAAATATAAGATAAACATTTCATTTTAAATATAAAAAATCTAAAATATGATTAGGATAATCATTATCGTTACAAAAAATTATTGTTAAACCAAAAATAAATTATTTCACTATTTGACCTAAATTAATTTATAATAAAATTTTGAATTAAAGAAATTGTATAAAAAAACAAAAACTTTTAAATAGTTAATTTGATATTAATATCAATATATTTTTTTAAAATTTTATGATATCTTCAAATGTATTTTTATTCAAAAGTAACATTATCTTTCTTAAAACCACATAAACCTTATAATATCAAAACATAGACAAAAAAATAAAATAAAACATTAAAATAAAGATTTATCTCGTTGTATTGCAAAAAACACTTCTAGTTATTTTAAATAAGCTACTCAATCATGCTTTTGTTTTTTTTTTAATTTCTTATTTTAAAGATATACGACAAAAGTCTATTGGCTTTTTACTGAATGACAAACATTTTTAAGTGCTTGTTGAATTGCTTGTGGAACCACTTCATTTTACTATTAATAGTATCGATTATTTTTACATTATTATTGATTTTGTTATTATTTAATGTATTTAATCGTCAAAAAACAAAAATAACAATTTTAAAAATACTTTTTTTTAATAAATTACATACATATTAAAGTTAGATTT